AGACGGCCCCCTATCTGGTCACGTGACTATACGTCACTGGCAGAGGCGGGAACAGTCATCGCTGCGCAAGACATTTAAACTTGAGAACTTTACTCCCTATTCTCTTCTTGACACTGTTAAAAATTCAGTTTTTATCCGTTACTATTTTATATCACATTATTTCATTAAAGCTGTTATAAGTTTAAATCTACCATATGTATGAATTTTATTTTATTTTACACAGAAAAAGACATTTTTACGCCTCGTATTTAGGTTCAGATGTTTTATTGGCACATACAACTCACTTAAACAAAAGTTAATGATAGAGGAATCAAAGTGTTATTTATTCTGACACAGCAACAAAACAAAACAATAAAAAAAAAGACAAACAGCTGTTTTCAGATAACAGTGTTGAGTTGGCTACTTCATTTAGGACAGCATTGATACAAAAATCACATGTATATAAAAGGCAAAACAAAACAAAAAAAGAATCAGAGAAGAAAGTGTGCTGACATTCTTTTTAAAGTTAATATAAACTAATTCTGACTTGTATCGAACCTTAACGGTGACGTAAACAGACTGAGATGCTGGGTTTTCTTTATTGTACGAATTCATTTGTACATTACGTTGTAAATCTGCGTTTAAATTCAGCAATTTATCTTTTTGAAGAAGTTTAGCTAAAGAATTGTACTTTTGATTTGTTCAATTTCATGAATCTTTTAACAAATGTGATTTCATCCACTCATACAACAGGATGTTTTCGGGGCAGGTGACAGCAGACGGGACATGGAAGACAAAAAACATGTTCCAAAACTTCCCTTTACAGCAAAGAAAAAAGGGGTGAAAAAAAGACAAACACAAAAGGAAAAACTGAGGTCAGCTGACATGGCTCGGTTAAGTTTCCAGTATATGTTAAACACCATTCACAAGTACAGCACATTTTATGAGTCTGGGGCAGGTCACAGCAAAAAACAATACTAAAGTAAAGAAGTAGAGACGTGATCGGTGAACGGGTCCTGTCGAAAAAACCATCAGTAACAGTTTGAACGTCCAGAGCTTTGATTTTCTCACCTAATAATCCAATGACATTTGGGCACAAAGATGTACGTTCTATCAATCCTGTGTAATTCCCTCAGTAAAAACACAAAGATTCATCTTTTATTTTACCGTGTCACTAAATTGCAGCTCACATTCCCATAGGTTTGGATGTTGAATGTTTCAGATTTTTTTACAAACATTACGGTAACAGCTTGATTTGTTGTGTCGTGTTTTAATTCTGTCAATGTCAGGGATTTTAATCAACAAGATTTCTTTACATTTGGAATTTAGTCACTTCATGATAAAAAAAACAAAGGGCAAGAAGGGGCAGTGAGGCCAAAGAATTTCAGTTTAAATATTTTTTTTATTGTCGCACAGTGTGGGAATTTCACTTATTTTTAATTTAATTCCTTTTTCCCCCCCCATCTTCAAGGGAATTACAATAATTTTTTTTTTTAAATTCCCTAAGATTTAGGGAATTAGCTCTGAATGCCTTGTCATGGAAATTTTTTTTTAAAAAAGCTAAGATTTAGTGAATTAGCTCTGAATGCCTTGTCATGGAGGTTCTTGAAACCACAATTCGCAGCTATGCTTTTGGATGCACTTAATCGCACATCCTGCAGGGGGAGGTACTTTCTCTTTTTTTTTCTTCTAATCAACACAAAATTCCTTGATGCAGTTCCAGGGAGTTGTTACATTTTGCAAAATCTCCTCCAAACAAAGACGTGTGACACTGTGCTCTGTAAAACCTCAGCTGTCGGTCCAGCTTTTGTCCTGTGTGTTAGAACTTGAACTTTGGGAACAGCACTAACGCCTGTTTTCTAGAACAAACACATTCAGACTGATAAAACAGCTTCACAATTTTCCCACAACTTCTTAGCAATATAGAGGGAAAAAAAAAAAAAACGACAACGGCAAGATTAGGGTGAGCTTAGAAGTGGCTAATTAGAAGACGGGCTTCGGGGGGTGTGGCTGGTTTTGCAGCGTGTTTCCATCAGCCATATCTTAAGAGAGACAAGGTCTGTACAATAACGACAAAAACAAATTCACAGCAATTTTTGATTTAATCAGGAATGAGTGAGGGGAGGTTATTTCCCCGATTTTTTTTTTTTTGAAGTTTCATTTTCTTCATCTTAGAAAAAAATAAATCAGTACCCAGAACTCTGTTCAACAGATCCTCATGAAAGGTCATTATCCAGTGACCGTTTGAATGGAGACTACTAATAATAAATAAATACGTAGAGACTCAGGAATGGAAAGACACAAAGGAAAAAGAGTGGAGGGCGTCGTCCAGCCAAGGAAAAGTTGAAGGAATGGATAAAGAGATGATCTTTTCTGGTTTGTCCTTCTGTGTTTTTTTTTTCACATGAAGTTCACTGATTTCACTGTCTCTACAGATCAGGATTCCTTTTTTAGAGCTTTGAGTTAAAGCTCTCTTTTTTTCAAGTCTTGTTTTGATGTGGAGGGCGGCGGGGGAGTCATTGTCTGTTCTGCTTCAATACCAGTTCACACTTCCTCCCCAGTCTGACTCAACCGTTGTACTGCTGCTGATATCGACGGTTCAACTCCCGCAGCTCCTTCTCTCTCACCCGTCGAGCCTTGTTGGATTTGGTGGAGCGGCTGGAGCGAGTGGACTGGGCCGACTTGGTGCTGTGGCAGCGGGAGGACGCCCTCTTCAGGAGGTTCTGGGATATACAGCGTTGGAGGTTCTTCATGGAAGACGACGCAGCCATGCTGATGATCCAGGGATGCTTGAGGGCCTGGCCGGCCGTGAGTCGCTCGCTGGGGTCCACCGTCAGAATCCTTTCCACGAAGTCCTTGGCCAGGTTGGACACGCTGGGCCATGGCTGCAGGTGAAAGACACATGTGAGACAAAAAGCTCAAATTTCACTGTCACTGCTCTTTATTTTCTGAAACTTGTTTTTGTGAAAACTTGAAACCTGAAGGCATCAGTCCTTCACACTTCTTTAGGACAAACTTTAAGTTTACTGATTTTTTTTTTTGTGGAAACAGAGCCATCTATCATTACTCCTCGAAGGCATCAGTTCTTCACACTTCTTTAGGACAAACTTTAAGGTCATTTTTTATCTACATTTACCTAAATTTGTTCTGATGTTCCTGTGGTTCAAAAAGAAAACTGTGGCAAAATTGTATTATGAACAAATAAATTGCGAATCATATCCTAACGTGAGTTGAGTGTTTCGTTACATCCCTGGAACTAAGTTTTTATTTATTTTATTTTATTTTATTTATTTACTGGCCTAAAGAAATTATATGTCAGACTAAATTTCAGATTTTCCAATTTCATTGCATTTTAAGATTTTAATAACTCAATGTAATTAGTCAGTAAATTCGATTTTTAACACTTGAGCAGCGTTGAGAGTTTCATTCACAAGGGGGCAGCAGAGCAACAGAAAGCTGAAGCATGGGCACACTACATGTGCTCTGTTTAAGGACCAGTCAAATCAAACCTAAATTAAATGTTTCACGCTGACTAAAGCACATGTGAAATAAATGATCGTTTACAGATAAAGACTTTACTGCTTCCATACAGATAAAGACGTCTCCAGGGAACAGAGGGTCAATAATGAGTCGAGTTCTGCCTGGTTCTGGTCGCACTGGTGCTGAACACGTGAGCATTATCGAGCAGATGTATGTCCTGGAGCAGGATGCCTTCAGAGTTTGTCATGCTCCAGTGTGGCTCAAGTTGTAACGACAGCGCAGTTAAACATGGTTAGGAGTTAAACAAAAACTGCACCACTGCAGCCAGCGTGTCAGAGACCATGGCTCTGAAAAAGTTTTGGATTTCAGAAAGTTTGTATCAACGATACGTGACCACAGAAGAAAGCAGTGAGAGAATGGTGTCGAGCCTCGGTGACCCTCAGGTTTCAGCACCCGATTCAAATTAGTTTGTCCTTGAAAACAAATAGATGTTGGAGTCAAATGTGAAGAAACGCCTTCAAAAGCTCTTCTGCAAAAAAAATGCCTTTCAGATTTGGTGGCTCACAGCCTTAACACATTAAACCTGGAGTTGGTACTGAAACAGCACAGAGAAATGAAAAAAAAGAAAGAAAGATTTTAAGCCACAGGAGTGTGTGTTTATGGGTTTTAAGCCACAGTGTGTTTATGTAGGGGCAAATATTAACTTTTGTAAAAACCCTCCTTAAAGTAAGGAAGGAAAGAGTAGATACACATGACAGCAATCCATATAAATATATGTATATATATATATATATATTATATTTTGGGGGCATAAGGCAAACATTAGTAATACAAATTGGTCAAGAAAAAGAAAACAAGTATTTAGAATGACCCCTGGCAATGCTTGAGCAAGGAAATAGAAAAGAAGAATGTATCTGCTGTTCTTTCAAATGTTTTGTTATTGAAAAAATAAATCAAATAAAACCAGGGCTCTAATGCAGCTCCTTACCTCTCCAGAGAAGCTGTATTTCCCCTTCAGGATCTGCCGGTATAGCCTCATGCGGTTGTCATCCTCGAAGGGCATGGTTCCACTCAGGAGGATGTACGATATCACCCCCAGTGCCCACATGTCCACCGCGTTAGTGTAGGGCTTCCTGACCAGGATTTCAGGTGCGATATACTCCGGTGTCCCGCAGGTGGTCTTCATCAGACACTCATCGCCCTTCTTCCTGCTGCTGGCCAAACCAAAGTCTGTGATGATGATCTTGGAGTCAGCTCCAGGATGGTAGTAGAGAAGGTTCTCCGGCTTCAGGTCTCGGTGAGTGATGCCTAAAGTGTGGAGATACTTGACGCCATCCAAAACCATCTGTAACACGCGGGTGGCGTCCCGTTCCGTGAAGGAACCTCGGGCGATGATCCGGTCGAAGAGCTCCCCCCCGGTGGCCAGTTCCATCACCATGTAGACGCGTTCGGTGGTCTCAAAGACCTCCATCAGCTGGATGATGTTAGTGTGACGAACCCGCCGTAAAACGCACAGCTCAGACTCACACACCTCCCTTCCTTCCCGGTACCGGGTCTCGATCATCTTGATAGCGTAAGGCTGCCGCGTGCTCTTGTGTTCCACGCGAACCACGCGGCTGAAACTCCCGCGTCCTATCAGAGCTTTAATGTCGTACTTGGCAGTGACTCGGGGATCGAACTTGGCTCGATATTTTGCCACCTTCTTCCTCTGTGGGTCCGACAGTTCGGACGGGTCTTTGGGTGACTGGGCAGAAGCGGTTGGAGTGGATGCTTGGGCCTGTGCCTGATACGGGGAGGTGGAGTCGGACTTGTCCCCAACTCTGCCCATTTTGCTTGCAGTACCATCTCCACGTATGAAGTGTTTAAAGATATCTGTTTGCGGCAGCGGAGGAGGATCAACCTGGAACATGAACACAGTCATCAACGATGGAACTACTTCTAAACACAGAACAATTAGCATATAACATACTTAGCTTATCTACTAGCAGCCAAATGATTACTGGTTTCGCCTCGGTATGGTATGGTACAGAACTTTGTGCTATACTTGTGCAGCCACAGAAGCATTATAGAAATTTTCCTTTCACTCTATGAGACAGGGCAAATTATTAAGGTCCAACCAAACGGGCAGGAATGGAAGACTTGAATCCACTAATTAGAACTATTTTCCTGTTCCATTTTTTATGCTAACAGCTGAATCGTTGTGCTTTTCACTAATCTGGAACAAAGAGATACTTTAAGGTCAAGCTGCACTCCAGGCATATTTTGCTCGATCATGCAGTTGCTCCTTCAGAACTGGGATTTAGCTGTTGAATTTAACCTCCACACTCCAACAGATGTCTGAACTTTGGACGAATATCGACAACCACAGGATGTACAGCAATATTGCAAAAGCGGTGCCGAGAAGGCATTAAGGTGCAGTATCAAACTGTTCCACTGCACTTTAGATATGCTGGGAGCATAATGCACAACCACTTCACTTATGGAAATGAAATGGAGGAAAAACATTTAAAGTATTGAAACCATATGCTGTGGGTGGGTTTCAGCCAGCATGAGCTGAATAAAAAGAGGCAAATTAAGTCAGTAAGACATGTATAAAAGGTTCTGTGTATAGATTGGTGATGTGGCCAAAAAGGGTTATCACAAAAAAATATGTAAAATTAAAGAAGCGTTTATAATTATTATTAGGACGGTGACAGTTAGGTTAAGATGGTTTCTCATTGTGAGTCTGGGTTGAATTACAACAATTGTTTTACACCATTTTATGCATTTAAAAAACTAATGGAAGAATTCAGGAAATATCCATCAGATGAATCTGTCATGTCAATAATGATTAGCAAACGTCCTAACTTTGGCAGACATCTGTTCTCTCGTCAACAAAAGTGTAATCAATACCTCCAACCGAGTCTTGCATTTCCATACTGACAGTTCAGGCCAAATACAAAACAACAATAAGACATCTGTAACGCGTTATCATCTCTGAGCCCTTCGCGGTGCAAACTACAGCAAACGCTGATCAATAAAATCAAATTTGTTTCAACTTCTCGGAGTAACAAAAAAAAACGGTATGTTTTTTGTCTCTTGCCTCTTAGTCTGAGGATTTCCAGTTTAAAGCTGTTTTGTATCAATGCAAATTGAATATCTTTGGCTGTTCAAGCGATGGTCTGGCACAGCATGACAAACAACAAAGCTGGGCTGTCGGTTTTTATCAAAAATTGGAATCTCTTTTCAACCGGGAAGGTTAAACTCCAAGTAAAGCACGGCTGAGATGGTCTTCAGTATTATGCGTTACTGCAGAGGGCGCTCAAAGCACTGCTTAACCTCAGATGTCTTCTGGGCGTTCTGCTATGCTGTTTTGTTTTGTTGTTAGCAAACTACATTTAAAAATTCATGTCAGGCAGACATACATGTTGTTGAAGTATTTTGAAAAGAGTATGTTAAACATACTGTTTGAGAGCAGTTAATGCCTTTGTGCCTGCACAAGAGAGGCTACACCACAAGACACACCACAAAAGTCAATTGAAAATGGGAGATTTCTGAACACAAGCCATGGTTTCTGGTTTTCTGTTACTGAATTCCTGATTGGAACACTGTGAAACAACAAGTACGACTGCAACTTCATCTTCTTTTATACTGACCTTTTTGACGAGGTCTAACTGGACATCCCCTGGAGGCTCAGGGAGGACCTTACTGTTCCTGCAACCCATCATATCACTTTGGGCCAGTGCCCAGTCAGCCACACAGGCCACCAGGAGTCCTGCCTCATCACCGCAACAGCTGATTCAACAACCTCAGGACATCCAACTTCCAGACAGTACCCGGACTCAGAAGGAGGGCTCATGAATAAAGCTGATTACACCCACTCACAGTCCAGATGAGCTGGCATCAGCAGTCACAGATCATGAGTACACATCCACTCAAGTCCAGTTCAAAAGTCAAGAGTTCACGAAAGCATTTGGCAAGCACACTGTGTGTCCTGAGTCATCCAGAAAGGCCTAAATCACTGGTTGTCTTGTTGTTGTGGTGGTGTTCTGTTATAGACTTTCGCCGATGGGTTTTGTACACACACAAACAGGAAACATTGTCAGCAGCCAGGGGGCAGCTTCAAACTCCATGAAGAAGCTGACAGGGTCCCATCACAGATGGCATAAATAGTTGAGTGTCGTGGGGAAAGAAAAAAAAAAACAAAAAACTTTGTGCAAGAGCTCCCCGGAGAAAAACAGTGACATATCATAGAAAAGGTTCCTCGTCCAGGGCACAGAGTTTCTTTTTAAACAGTTCTCAAATACGGTGGCCTACAAGAGAAAAGTTCCACCATCCAGAGGATTCATGTAGAGCTTCCACAGACACTCGAAGCACCAGCTATGCTTTGATCCATTGGGAGAAGCTGCAGTGTCAGCAGTGGTCTTGCCGCAGATAAAGCAGCTCCCCTGGAGAATCTCAGGCTGGAGAGCAGCAAAGGGAGGCTCTGAAATACACAGAACATAAAATGCAACATGAAACTTGAGTGTCTGTGGTTTGGTTCGCCACATACACAGGCAGGGTGTCTGAGAATATGCTGAAGGCCGACATGACAGGAGCAGATTGTTTTCATTATTACCTCCACAGAGGTGGTCGTGTTTTCACCCACATATCTGTGTGTGTGACTAGCATAACTCAAAAAAGAAAACGTCAGATCTGATGTAAAATATCAAATAACGCAGGGTTTGGCTCCAGAAAGAAATTTCCCTTTGCTCTGAATTTGAAAGATAAACTGAGTATTAAAAATTAATAAGACTTAGTTGATGAGTGTTTGGCCATCTCTAGTTTCATTTTAAGGCTACAATTCTTAATGACACCCACAGGGGCGTTTTAGGGGATGGTAGTTAAAGTAGCAGTAAAAAAGTTTTAAAACACTATATTCGCTGATGATGCCTGCATTTAGGCTAGTGTACCTTCCAGCTGTCACTCACGTCTATCAGCATATTCAGACATTTAACACAGTTCTATTGGAAAAGATCTTAAGTGGCCAATCCAGACTATTAATAAACCTAAAACATTTAACAAGATCTTAAGCGGCCAATCCAGACTATTAATAAACCTAATTTTCCTGCATGTTTTCTACAATTTTTTTTCTTAATCGTTTTTTAGCACTTAGGTTTGCGACTAGCATCTATTTTAATATGGCACAGTCATATCAGGATTTTTATTGTAGCTCATCGTTATTATAAGGTCATCCACATCCTTTACATCTCAAAACAAACTCTAACAAATTCTATTTTTGTACAGCTTTAACAGCTACGTCTAACTGCGTTAAAAAAGAAAAGAAAACCTGCAACACAATAATCCACTAACAAAGTAAATTGGACGTGGCCACACAAAGTTCACTTATTAACAATAATTGTTGATAAGGTGAGGGTTTTAAGACATTAGTAAACTGTTTTTAAATCGAAGTTATGAATTAAAATGCCCCAAAAAAGAAAAAACTCAACTCAATGTACTTTTTATTTGCATTCAGTAAAAAAAGATTTTTAATAGATTAGCTACACATCCCTTTTCTGCGTTAAGCTAAAATAGTTATTTCTACTAACTTCCTTAGTTTCTAATTGCAACTCTGTATCCGAAAAGTCGACTTACTGCCACCTACTGGTGTCTAAGTTTGTTGTTAAATATCCCTCCCTAAAACGCCCTGATCACAATTGAGCAGCGCTACATTTCTCCTACATCCAATTTTTAAAAATCAAACCAATAGTAATTTATTGTTGTTGATTCAGTATCTCTTTAGAAAACAACTGTCTACTCCACCTTTAAGTTGACACAATAAAAAAAAAACGAACAGGCCCAAGTCATGTCAATGTTTTTCTCTGGAGCCAAAACCCTGTTCTGTGAGTTTTTCTTCCTTTCGACAACACTCGTAAAAAAATGAAGACAATTTACTTAAATCAAACTTTAAAAATGCGCCACCGTCGTTACAGGAGTAAAAAAAAAAGAAGAGTAAACTTTTGACTCTTACCTCAAAAGTTGAGCGGAGTTAGCGGTTGATGCTATCAGTCCGTTAGCAGAAAGAAGGGCAGGACTTCAGCGTTCGCCAAAGCTCAGCCTCCTCACCCCACTCACTCTCACTCAGCTGAGTTCTCCATTTTCAGCCCAACTTCCAACAACTTTCTCCCCCCTAACAAAGGCGAGTCACGTCCCCCCTCTCACCCGTCAGCCGAACCCTCTCCCCCACCTCTTCAACGAGCTGGGTGTTAAACCGAGGAAGTGTTTTAAACGGAGGAGAAACTGTACAAAAACACGCAAAGCCTCCTCGTCGTTTGTTCTTCGGACGGTGTTTTTTTTTCTCTCCCTCTTCATTCCAGGACCACCTTCCTCCCACCCAGAGGGGAGTGAAGAAACGGGAATGAAGGACTCGGGGTCCGTCTTACGTTTTCAAAATAAAACACCCCTAGATTTGCCATTTGTCTAAGGTTAAATCTTTACCATAATCGAAAATAAATTGATATATTCACCGTGTTGCCACGGATCGAAGTTTAAGAAAAGTTTCGCTGCTTTTGTTGGTCAACCGTTGATAAATACGACCAATAAGGTTATCAATTGTCGATCATTTCGATAGGACTAGCTATCCTTATATTGTAGAAAACATTATTCGATAGTATCAACACTATGTACTCTTGAATGGCCACGAGGGGGCAACCTAAATACAATTTTGACATAAACGTATACTTTTTCATTTAAAAAAAAAGTTTCTTTCTTACGCGATTCTATAGTATCATCTTACATGTTATCGAATCGAGTTGTTGAGTGTTTACTCGAATACAGGTTGAGGGTTTGAATCATCACGCATATGAACCTGGCTAACTGGTGAGTATCGGGACTGCAGTACTTATCGTCCATAAATAACAGGTAATTGGGTGTACTGTAGGCCCAGAGTACATGCTTTTCAATATAAATTAATGAACGCTGTAGCCTCCTGCCAAATACCACACAGTGTCGATGAAGCCAATGAGCAGCAGCTTCGTCAGCAGAGTTTTTAAATATTAGAGTCTGGGGAAACATTTCTAATTTAACAAGGCACGTATTAGTCAGACAGAAACACAGAAAACTATAATTATTACAAACTATTGTATGTTTTTTTAACATCGAAGGTAAAACAAAAAGCTTCACTTTTAATTATTCCATCAACGGGACTTTGTGCTTTTATTTTGTAGGCGCTAAACCTCTACTTTCCCGTGTGTTTTTCCTGCGTCTGTGTTCAACTTGACTGAGCTCCTCTTCGCCCAGCTTCTTTTGTGGAGACGGGACGACCTCCCTCAGCTTTCTTCGACCCCAGTAAGGCCTTTTACGTCACTTCCTGGATACGGAGAGAAGTCCCCCCTGACAAAGTGCTGACATCTGTGTTGGAAAAGTACAAGAAAGTCCTTCAAAGCTCCTTTTAGAAGTTCAGAGTAGACCGGGTACTGAACGATAACGAGTATCTCGTCCGCAATTAATCGCCTGTGGTGACGAATGAAAACAAAAACAGTGTGAGATGTTACTTTTACTGCTACCTGTTCGAACACAAACCCTCAGGGTTTACTGCCTTTTTTCCAGACTATTTGACGCTTTATAACATTATATATATATTTAGATATATACTTATAAGAGTAAATAATAAATCATGTCACATCACGATCTTCTATCAAAACAAATACATGTTAATAGAAGCTGAAGCCGTGCTCTCTTCCATTATGATTCAGTTTTTTTTCCTCCCAGGTTTGTTAAAAGTTCCAGATCAATAAACACCTACTGCTGCAGAATCTCAACTAAGTCTTTCGGTTATATTTCCAATAACAGGAGTTCGGCCCTCGGAGAGACGTCCTCTGCTGTTATAAAAATATATACGTTCTATTACTCTCCCCGCAAGGCATAAATAATGTTCTTGTTCAACATGATAACGATTGATCCTGTTAAAGTTGGATGAACTTCTATGCAGCATCTCGTAGTTTTTATGTCTTTTTTATGTCAATTTTTGTAAACGCACTTCTTGATAATCGTGAGACAAACATTTGTTGCTATTCATAATTTATCAAATCCACACCACAACAACAAAAAGTTTAGAGTTAAGACCCCACCTCTGCTAGAGATTAAACTACGGTGTGTAGATCTGTTACAGGACATTTCCACATGGTGTCACTATGCACATAAAACTCACATCCAAGGCCATTCTTGACTGTAACTTCTTCCTTGTGCAGATTTTATTGGTCTTATCTTTTTTCTTTTTTTAATTTTAATCGACTTGTAAAATATCCAGGCCTGAGTAGCGTTTACTCTGTTCATGAGCGAGGCCGTAAAGAAAACACAGCCTTGACTGCAGCTCTGATGGGATTGGGTGCAGCGTCGGACTCACTGTTGACTGACCGTGACTCTTACAGCCCGTGCAGAGTTTCATGGAGCAGCATTAAAAGTGTGGAGTTTGTAGGAGGAAGACAAATGCTCCTGAAAGACAGACATGGAGACGGTAAAATTCATCTTATGACGCCAATAAAGCTCCCCGAATTGGGCTGAGGAGGAAGTGGAAATGAGTGGAAGTGCGAGGGTGGGGTGAGGGAGGAGGACGGGGACATGACAGATGGTGAGGTACAGAGAAAAATATAGAGAGAAATGGAGGGAGGAAAGAAGGGAGGAGGAAGCAGAAAGTGAGCCAGACGAGGCAGTAGAGAGTCATCAAAATGGAGAGCAGCAGACAGAGGTGGCGAGGGGAGAGGATGAATGAGAATAAAGCAAAGAAAGAGGAGTCTCTGAGGGGCCACTGCCGTCCGGTCGGCCCCTCGGCTCGTCTGTTTGCGGTGCAGCCGAGGTCAGGGCCTCTGCGGCCGGCCTCTACGCCGTCATCCTCCTGATTGATCACCAGTTCTGATTAGGATGCTTTGTCTGAGCACGTTGCATTTATTGACTCCCCATTTTGTATCCTCTGCATTAACATCATCTCAGACTTTTCTTCTTTTTTTCCCCCCTCCTATCAGCGTCCCCCGCCTGCACCACTTTGTTTCCGCTCCGACTGTCCCCAGCGTTTACTCTCCATCTCTGCTCTTCCACCCCCAAAGGTCAGGATCATCTATTAGATCTGGATCTGCTGACTTGTATTATTTATCCAGGGCCAAGAAGAAGAGATGCCCAATGAAAAGCTCAATTGACTCTGACTGCGTCCCCCCCCAACCTCTTCACCCCCGGTGTCAGCCGTATTTTTGTGTCTAAATGTGACTTGTTTGTCTTTTACAACCGAGCGTTTTTTTTTTTTGTTTTTTTTAAAAATTGCAGTCACATTTGGAGGGAAATTGATGAAGAAGTCGACACTTCCGCAGCTATCAACAATATTATTAAACCAATCATTTCACTGAAAAAGCTGATAAAATTACAAATCGTTTTTTTCTTCACTGTGGCACAAATAAAGAAGTTATAACCGCCTTCAATACGTCTGCGCCCCTCACTTTGAGAACCACTGCTTTAATTCATAAATCCTTACACTCTCAAATCCTAAAAATGACTTTGTCTTGTAGTTTGATGTTTATGTGAATCTTAAAAAGCCTTTAATCAAGTTCATTTCTTAACCTGATAAATTAAAAGTTTTCCATTTCTTACCCTGATAAATTAAAAGTTTTTCCACACATGACTGCGAGTGTCCCCACAACCGTGCAAAGCCGAGCACGTGAGTGAGTGTGCCAAGTGTTTTCCGTGAATGGGAGTGAATTCCGAGTTTGAAGTGAATGGGCAACTTTGCATGTGGGAGGCACTGGTGCAGTGGGGAATGAGGGGAATGTCTGGAAAATGACACACAGTGTCAGTTTTGAGTCTAGTTGGAGGATATTGCTATTTTTGTTTTTTTTTTCCTCACCCCCTACTCTGCCAAGGGGGAGTTCCCCGGAGAGTAAAAGAGATGGAGAGAGAGAGAGAGAGAGAGAGAGAGAGAGCAGGACACCACTGCTGTCAGTCCAATCAGGTCATAGTAAACTTGCTATTGATTGCCGAAGGCGCTCCGTTCCCTGAGGGAGTATTGTGTGAATATTATAGTGACACCGCAGGAGATAAAAATATCACAAAATACAACAGGCTCATTGCAGGGATATGGTAGACCACCTCGGGAATAATACTATTTTCCACAGAACATTAGAGTGATCATTCTGTCATGGTAGCATTTTACAGAGGTTTTCATTTGGGTCCCCTGTTAGACCGGACTCGTCCTCCGCTGCTGCAGCACAGACTTTTATAGCGCCACTGATTGCTCATAAGTTACCGCTTCTGCTGTGTCTCAAAATTTTTATTGCAGTCGTCGTTTTTTTTTTCTTTTCTATTCAGCAGGGACATATATTTTCCCCACGTATCAGACTTTCAAATCCCCCGTGTTCTTAAAATGCAGCTTTACAGTGGCCACAGCTGGAACGGCTCCAGATGTTTTTTTTATTAGAAAACAACAGAGTAAAACTACACACAGATAACGATTACTAGGGATGTCGATGCCAATATCTGCACAAAGCACTGAATGAGCTGCTGGCACCAGAATCTCCTGATTGTGAGAACAGATTTATATAATTAGTTGCAATGCTGCCATCTTGTGGTTTTCTCTTGCATATGCAGTTGTTTTTCCCCAAAAGTATTTTTAGGACAAACATCATTTGGCCAAACCCAGGCACTGGGTTATCGGGTTTTCATTTGCGTAGGAAAAACCCGAAAATGATTCTTACATAATTATGCTAACTACGGACATCCCTAACAGTTACTATTAGAAAAACACGCGATGAACACACATGCAACCGTCATGACAGTGACAGACGCAACCATGATCAAACTGACTGCTGTAAATAAATAAAGTTTACTCTTCAACGACTTTGATCTAAAGGTTAAAAAGCCAAGGAAAGACGTTCTGTCAGTTAACCTTGAGGACTGATAATCCACCTTAGCATGGAGTGAATAAGAAACTACTGTGATGGAGTACTCAGGAGCTCAGTAGACAACAGACTGTGGGTAGCTGTTAATTCATTAGCTTGCAGCTTTGGGGACAGAGGAGTGAGAGAGAGTGCGGCGCAGTGGGATCCACGGGCAGACAAAGATAAATAGAGCAGACAGCTCTTAGAGAACGCAGACACGGAAAAAGGATCGCTGTTCCTTCAACACAGATGTAAAGATGAGGGAGGAAAATAAAAATGAAAAAAAAAATACAAATTTTGGCGTTGGTTTGTAACATGTTTGAATCAAACATTTTGCCGTTACGTGGAACATTTTTGTTGACATATGAGCAGAGACGATTCGGTGAAAAAATCTGTTCCAATTTTAGTAACCTCATGTTGACCACGGAACAGCATTGTGTATTTGCTCGGGATGTCCGATATTAGCATAATTATGTAATATCTGTAAAAAATGGTTAACTTGGTTAACTTCCTTAACCACCAGGTCACCACTGCCCCGTTATA